GTGATGCTTGGGCATCTGGGCAAATGAAGCTTAGAAGCTGGAAACTTTGATCAAGGGCGTTTCCATGCAAGGGATCGATAGAAGAAGGAAGAATGCATTGAGTGAGATAGGATAGGTATAATAAATATTCAGTTTATTGCAAAATATCCAATTATGTAATGCACAAAATTGATGTTTGTAATATATTTTATTAATTTTATTCAAAATTTTATTCAATATTGTTTACAGTAATTTCCTCGAAATTGTATGTGAAGTGATCAGTAGATCGCACAACTCACCGTTATTTACAGCAACCACGGTCAGATTGCAGGTTGCAACGAACTTTAGTTGCAAGTAAATGGATACATATATTATAAATGCCATACTTTGTCTTTTCAAAAAACATTTGTGGCAACTTCACTATTGTATGTCAACATAACATTTGCGCAATCAAAATACATGCAGTGCAGGAATTCTCTACGGTGACTGGTCAAATTGTACCATACGTAAAAATAGTCTGCAATAGCAATCACCTGTACCAAACTGCTACGCTTATGCTTCTTATAATTTTAAATATGTATAAAGTTGCATATAAAGTAACACATTATTGAAATATATTATTCCTGATAAAACAATAATTACAGATACAATTTCTTCCGACCATTGCATCCAAATTCTTTGAAGTTGTATCACTGGGTACTTTTTAACTGAATCACCGGTAGATCACCGGAGAAAACGTGTGTACAGCGGGTTGCTATTTCCGGCTTAGTTTACGAGACTATACACACGATAATCTTAATCTTTGCATATAAAACAATGCCTTGGAGAGCAGGAAATAGAATGTTAATGGTAAATCATTGTGTCTGCACGCCAGGAACCTATGGTTGTGGGTTCGAATCCCGGTTTGCCCCGTTTATGTTTCTAGGTTTGTCAGCACCATACCCATGCTCGTGGGTTTCACCGAAGTGGTAAACGTCTGAGACCTGCATCACTTCGGGCTTTCCTCCCACATTTAGCTGACACGCCGTGATATAACTGGAATACTGTTAAAAGTGGCGTTAAACCCAACTCACTCACTCACATTGTGTCTGGTGATGTTTTATATCGAATTTCATATTTTTAGCGATCTTAGCGCTAAGATGATCGTAACTCCCATACTTTAACATAGGCTTACAATAGTTGTAGCTCTAAGATCGCTTTGTGCAAGTGGGCCCTGGTTTGTAATACCTGTTTATTCACGTGAATTCGCTAAATATGTTTCTTACACTATGAAGCATAAACAACTATTATTCCAATCCTTTTTCAAACCCTGAAGTGTACATCGTAGATCATGTTAGGTAAGGCAGAGCATGTACTATTGTGTTGGTCATCTACCCACCTACGACTCCACCTCCTTTAAGAGAGGGTATCACTGCCCCCTGACAATGGTAACATTTTAATTTTTCTGAAAAAGAACCTGAAGTTGAACTGTTCACACTGCGAAGTGCACTGATTATTTTCTGGTGTTTGAACTTTTAAGATTCCTACTGTTTTGAAATTTGACATGTTTTGACGAAGGGTGAGAGAAAGTTCCACTTTGAAGCTTGACAAGTAGTGTTGTTATTATATACTCTTCAAAAATGAAACTTGACACTGACTTTCAAAATGTAATATAATGCGATTGTTTCAAAATAGAACACAGAAACCATAATTAAAACACTGTTTGAAGATCAATGTACACGATGTTCAAAACATTAATTGTGTCACCTAGACAGACACACATACACGATACAGTTAATGTCACAATCTGTTGTGCCCACCACGTGCATCAATCACCGCTTGACACCGACGACCCATAGATGCAATCAAGTTGTCAATAACACGCTGTTGGATGTGCTGCCATTCATGCTGAAGTGCATCAAGAAGCCCCGGAAGTGTTTTGGGCGGTGGATTCCTTCTGCAAACGCGTCGATCCAACTCGTCCCACAGATGCTCAATCGAGGACAAATCTGGTGACCGGGCTGGCCAAGGTAATGTCTGGATGTTGTTGTGCTGTAAGAAGTCCTGACAAACACGTGCAATATGCGGTCGAGCGTTGTCCTGCTGGAACTGTCCGCCATGAACGTTGACATGAGGAAGAACGTAAGGCTGTAGGATCAAGTCTCTGTAACACACACCTGTCAATGCACCTGCCACATGCACGAGAGGCGTCCTACCACCGTGATGAATTCAGGCCCATACCATGACACTCCCGCGGCCAAATGGGACAACCTGCTGCACACAGTTGGGGGCGTAACGTGCGCGCCCATCAGCATGTGTGAGTAGGAAACGAGACTAGTCAGTAAACAGTACATTTCTCCACCTTGCACGTGCCCATCTAACACTCTGTTGGCACCAAAGCAGACGGTCCGCCAGATGACGAGGGGTCAATACATGACGTCGAACAGGTCTTCGTGCAAAAAGTCCAGCCTCCCTCAGTCTGTTGCGTACCGTTTGATCTGATATTCTGCATACCCCAGGGATCTGTGGTTGTAGACGTGGCCGTGGTAGTGCGGTCTCACAGGTGTCGCAGCCGGATGTATCGATCTTGTGCTTGGGTTGTCACCCTTGGTCTTCCTGACCTTGGTCTGTCGTCAACTCTGTTGGTGTTGTTGTATCGGGTCCACAGTGCGGAGATTGTCAGTCTGGATACCCAAAAGTGCCTGGCCACTTCTTGCTGAGTTACTCCAGCTTTTAATCTACCAATGGCGTTGTTCCGTTGAGCTGCATTCAGTCTTGGCATTCTGTCACCGCCTCTACAGCCGTTATAAGGACTGTATGAACAGCCGTTGATGTGGATTTTTATACCCATTCAGCAGGGAGGCCTGCATGCCTAAATGCAGGATCCTGTGCTGCACGTTTTATACAGGCGGTTGCGTTTGGATGAAGCTGTAAAATTGATCCCCAAACGCTACGTTTATGTGCTTTGAATGTGTTTTCGCGAATTATATCGAGATACGTATTGTATCATGACCTTCCTGTATCGTTGCAGCCCTAGTTATTAATACAAAGCTTCGAAAATAGAGATATTTCCAAGTATGTTCTCATGTTACTGAGTGGAAATAGGTGATAGTAGATATATTTTAAAATTCTTTCCACTTTTGTAGTGAATGAAAATAAAAAATACGAAATAGGTTAATGGATATTATGAAATTTTACAATTGCCAAAAATTACCACAATTTTTGCTTCTCTGGACATGTGTAAGCTTACATTCTTTTGTTAAGAACAAACTTAATTAAGTTGTCAACGCATTATTTAAATAATTTAACAAACATAACTTTCATATTCTTTAAGACAAGGATGAGACCCTTCAGTGGTGTATGACATGTAGTAGCAGAGATGTTGTACAAGCTGGTATTTGCCTTGATACATGTAGGCTTCATCTATCACCCCCAGAGTCTCTGAGCTCAGTGTCATAGCAGTAAAAGCTACTAGTAGACTGATCTTGAAAGAGTCTACACACCATTAAGAACTTTAAAAGGTCTGGAATTTGCTTGACGTGGTTGTGTGATGATCCCTGGTTAACCTTCACTCATAGAGGTGTTTATTCCCCACATGGTGAAGATGCAGGTGGGGAAACACTAAGACTGTTGTGTGTCTTACAAGATGGACCTCGTTTTATTTGTTTTGATTGGATAACCTTGCCCTCAGTCACAACAAAAACTACTTTTTAATGGAACTATAGCGATCAACATGTCCATCTATCCAGAACTCATAAACCGTTGAGTATTACTTGATGAAACTTGCTGTACAGATCAGTCTAGTGGGGAACTGGTGCCTTTGAATTCCAAACCCTTTAAATATTTCTTGATGAAACTTCCTATGCAGATCAATCTAGTGGTGAACTGGTGCCTTTTGATGATTTGGGATTTTGAAAAATTACTTTTTCTTGACTGAACTGAAGTTATCCAATGGCAATATACCAAAAGTTGGGTCTAAGTAGAAAACTACATTTCTGAATTGCTCCAGAACGAGGGATATGTCATCTCCTGATGTTGCCACATTTGGTAAAGCCCCAATGGTTCATGGTACATGTAATTCTTGTGAAGACCAAACCTTCAGTACATCATTGACTTAATCCTGTTAACTATTGTTTGCTTTTTGGTGGGACAGTTTTGGGCATTCAGGCAATATTGGGGATCTATTAGGCTGCATATTTTTTCTCTTGTCATGCAAACACTTTTCTAGTTAAACTTTAAATTTGTGTTTCATGAAGCTTTCTCCATGTTTCGAGGAAGATGCCAAACTTTGAGTCCTGCTAAGGCACCATTATCTGTTGTCAAGGTCTCCCATTGTTGATTATGTTGATTACGAAAATAGGGAGTGCATCTTGGAAGATGCTGAACCAAAAGTGGAGATACATAGAAGCTTGTTGTAATAGCATTGTTCTTTAAGTTCCTTTGAATATCAATATGATGCCATGCTGTCTTCCCACATGAAACAGAAAACGTTAGGACAATCAGTATGATACTTAAGACCCTCACAACTCACCCCTTCCTTACTGGATGACTGAAAATATCACTGCTTATAAATTTCAGTTAAGAATATACTTGAGCAACAGCGCATTGACTGTATTTATTTTCATTTTTGGAGAGGGTGTTTGGTAGCAAGGGATAGAAATGTATTTTTGTTTAAAGTATGCCGCAAGGCACTCATTAAAACGGTTTATGCATGCCCTTTGGAATTAAACAGTGCCATCTACAATAATAATTTTGCTCCTTTGCTGAACTGTTTCCTTAGATGTTGTTTCACCAAGGCTAGATAGAAGCAGTTGTAATTTTGAAGGTTTGCCCCTTCTTTTCATTGAGTTTGATCATACCATTTTCCTTTTGTGTGTACCCACATTTAATTGTGGTTTCACTTGGTAAACATTGTCACAAGGTACTGTTGTTATGAAACCAAATTAATTAAATCAGTGTGAACTTTAGGCATGCCCATGGTTAAAAGAGTATGAATCCAGCTCCATGTCTGCTGTTTAACCTCTTCAATTTATTTGTTCCAGGGTCAACTGCCTCCCTTCTCCTCAATCATGCCATTTCGATCACCAGTAGGAACATCCTTTTCTCCCAGTTTCTCTGCTCCACTCAGCATGTACACATCTTCACCTGTCACATGCCTCCCAGACCAGCCTGAGATGGGTCTTCTACGGCCCCAGTACTTTCCCAGTATGAGCTTGGCAACACAACTTAAGCTTCCTGAGCAGACATCACCCGTGTCTACACCTACTGGCACCACAGAAAATAATGAAGTGGTAAGCACCACCAGCCATGGCCAGACTCGCAAATACAGCACTGAGTCCCATAACTCGCCCCCAATTTCCACTCTTGATGCCCAAGCAGATGCCAACAGCAAGATGGATCAAGACGCTGACACTTCTCAGAATGCAGGCGGACTGAGTGAGTCCAGTGACAGTGGCTCCCAGACACCCGATGGGGTGGAAAATGGAGGAACTGACGATGCCCAGCCATTGGCCATCGAGAGGCAGAATCTCAACACGCGCATGATGCCATCATCCTCTAGCGGGCGTAAACAGCGTCACCCCATGCGACGCTACAGCAGCAGCGCCAGCAGCGAGCAGGAGATGCCTCAGTCCACTTCCTGCCTTCCCACCAACATACACACCAATGGGATGAAGCTGCCTGCAGAGCCAAACGATGCAGAGGATGTGGCTCTGGTGTCTTATCTCCTGTGGAAAGGTAAGGTCTACAAGTGTGAACACTGCCACATCATTTTCGATGACTGCACCCTCTACCTTCTCCACAACGGCTTCCACTCTCATGACTCTGACCCCTTCAAATGTGTCATCTGCAAACTCTCATGTAAAGACCGCATCGACTTCAACTGCCACCTGACAAGTCACATCAAGTAAACAGAGGCACAGCATCACAGTAACATGAAAGATATTATAAATATTTTTGACTGCTAGTTTATTTCCAACTGTGTAAGGTGGTGGACAACACATCACCATGCTTATGTTCATCCAACAGTTTGATATATTAAGGTTTTGTTATTCTAAACTTGGACCACAGATTGCAAATAAGATTATTGGTATTTCACTCAATCATGACAATGATCTTCACTTTTTGTACTGATAGACAAATTGTTTTATTGTCTGTTCGACAGACTCTAAAAGATGCCATAGCCAAAACAATATTATTATTCCATTGGCCATGAAAGCTTTATTTATACAATTTTGAAGTGCTTTTATCATGTTTTCATGTTACATTTGTGTAAACATTTATTGTTTGTATTCATGAAGTATGATTCTCCAAATCTTCAGCAAGAAATGTATTTTTATTGGAAATCTGTGAATACAACCGTACTGTAATTTTCAGTGTGCAGGGTATTGTGTTTTACAACCGCAAGTCAGTGTAGATAAATATATAAATCTATATATATTCATGTAGAAACAGGACCAAGCATGAAGTATTTATTATTTGTTTAAATATTTGAACATAAAAAATTAAGTGCATTTGGTTATAATTTCAACATTTCAACATTGATAAATTTTAGCATAAATGAGAGCATTATATATTAAGTTGCATTCATAATGTTTCATAATACTCATTGACATATCTGCACCTCATCCCTTGTCCTGGTCAATTCCTGGACAGGACTTTATGTGACATCACTCTTGTCTGTTATCTGTATCAAGCATTTCACATTTTGATTAAGGTTTTGTGTCTTCTTTTGAATGTCTATAGAGAGCAAAAATCATACAAATTTTTAATATAAAACTTCAGAATCAGATTCACTGGCACATAGCAAGAATACTAGGTGTAAATGACTCATTGTGACATTCAGCCTTTTTCTATTGCATGTTCATGTGCAATGTGTAAGATAGGTCAGGTAAACTGGTGTACTGTGTTGTCATGCCAGCCAGCCTGACTCCTCACAGCCAATTCACTCCTAGTTCAGCCTGCCAGTACAGATGTAGTGTGTTGCCGTCACTCAGAATGTACTCATTGTTCCTTCTAGTCACACACCAACATTGGCAATCTCATCAATGTCACCATCTTACATTTTGTCAACAAATTGATATTTTGCATTTAGAAATTAAAGTTGGAAAGTAGGTGTTTGGTACCATTGGGTTCTGCTACGTGTTCTTTGAAATTCTCACTGTATTTGTTTAGTCAGCAGAGACCTGAGTATTCATTAGAAACTGTGCTCTAGAATCATTGTCTTTTGGTTTAAATCATGACACCAAGTTTTACATGCCTGTTGGGAAGAAAATAAATCATCATGATATTGTTCAATTTGTGCGTGGACCAAAGGCAGTTGTGCAGTGCAGTTGATCAGAATAGGCGGAATATATCAGTTCTAGAAGTAACAACATTAGGAAGTCATTTTAGGGATACCTTCAGACTTAACATTAATTTCTGGAATTTCCATAATTGTTTATGGTTAATTTTGCTGTCATTACAAAAGGGCTACAAATGCTGTGAGATGTTTATTACAGACCCCGTTTTGTCATTGTTTGTGTTCCTGGCCTATATAATGATATTACTCCTCTAAGGCTGCTGGCTGTATGTACAGTATTGTACACTTATATATATATATATATATATATATCTTACCGTCACAGGTACATTGTCCAGGAAATAGTTTCTTCAATATTCTTTATCAGTCTCTTGAGTTTGATGAAAGTGTTGACTACTTAGACCTTGATGTGATTGTGTTGTGGTGTATTCATGTATAGCTAGTGAGGCAATTCCTTCACAGGGGCTGTTGCAGGGGCACCTGCTGCCTGGGGGCTGCCTGCTTCAGAACCCTACTTATGTATATAGTGACCACAGATTAGGTGTGGGAAAACACACTCAACACACATCATGTAGTGGGGCTGCCATTACACATTGCAACAGATTCAAATGTCAAAAATTGTTATATGCCAAAGATTAAAAGAAAAGCTTTATACTGAGTGTACTTACTATTTCCCTCGCACAAATTCCAGTTGTCCATGTCAGTAAAACAGAGGACTAGTTACCTACTTACATTTAATACAGTTATGTTCCTGAAAGTCAAAGTGTTTGGACCAAGTCAGAAGACTGAGTGATAGTTTGATATTTTCATATACATTGTACATGTATAGATATGCATGCTTGCCAGTGTGAGGGCCGAGTGCCGACCAATAGATCTGACACTTTACAAAATATTTGGGCAATGATCAATATTGTTTGTCATTCTTTCGTCAGTCAGTCACCTCAAAGGTGAATTTTTATATATATAATCAAAGTTACATTTAATTTTCCTATATGATATTATGGGTTTAGTAACAATTTATGTTATTGCCCCATTTATTTGGGCATTGTGTGTCAAGAATATATTATATATTTTATGGATGTATTTAGCAGATACCATGTACATGTAGGTATGTTTTGTAATCTGCCTGCTTTTGATTATATTATCATGCAATAGATATATGTGATTACTCTGATTGTCCAGAATCAAAATTCTTGAATGTGATTGTGATGCCCCTGCTGCTGCTGCTGCTGGCACCAATGTTGTTGATGTTGCCGCATAAATGATATGATACGGACCAGCACCTAGCTGTTCAGGAGTACATGGCTAGAGCCAGGCTCCTCTGTACAGACTCCAGATGTTGGACTCTCCTGCATCTGACTCCTGGCCAGCAGGCAGGTGTGTTGTGCATGTCTGAATGAGTATTGGACGTGGCAGTGTTGGTCACTGACTGTGAATGTGTAACATGGAAGGATGAACGTCGGCAGCACCTGCAGCAGGAGGCTTCCTCCTCCTCCTCCTCCTCCTTTCCCAGTGTTCTCTCTGCCAAGCAGCAAACACAGGCCAGCTACACACCTTACACGTATTAGTGTACACATGCTTAAAGCAATTATGTGTAGTGGTGTTCTAGCAATATACAGTGAAGTTGTTGTGTGAGAAGGTCTGCACTGGTCAGGGTCACCATCCAGCAGTGTGTGTCACTATAAACCACAGCAGAAGGGCCACCACCTCACCCCCTACTGACTACTGGCAGTTGATACACCACTAATCTTAAAACTACCTTACGGTAGTACTCGCATCACTATGATGCATGCAGTACTCTCATGGCACATGTATTGAATGAAAGTTTGTGCCTAATTTTAAATCATACTTGGTTGTTAATCTCTGCATAGCTGTGTAGCTGCGGGTGAAGGCAACATCTTACTTCATGGCCAGCTTCATACTATGGAGGAAATGCATTCAACTGACAGAAAATCTGTCCTTTTGAAAACGTTTATCATATGCAAGTCATTTTCTCATTTTATATCATGTCTCTAAGTATATCAATACAAGATAAGCCAACAGTATTTTTAGTTGGAGGGTTTTTTAAAGTAACTTGGAGCGTAAAACCAACTTAGAGCCACTTTTCTAGCTGTCTGTACAAAGAAAGGTCATTGAGTGACCTTGTGTCTCTGTCCGTCCACTTCAGTTGATGCCAGGTCAGGTGAGCCTGGTGGCTGCTCCTCTAATTAGTGGCGGGTGACTCTGAACAGTGTGCCAGCCTGTCATTGTGATTAAAAAGATCATCATGCAACAAGCTAAGTCCATCATGATTTTTTATTAAAAGCAATATATTATATGGCCAGTCTTGTATAATGCCTTTTCATGACTCCTGTCATTCTTCTCCAAGCCATGCAGATGAAGCTTCAAGCTACAGCAATACTAAACAATGCCTACTTTTTCACTATTTTATCTGTGGTGCTGGATCAACAATTACATTTGTCTCATAGTTATATTATTTGTGTAACATACATACATACATACATATATATATATATATATATATATATATATATATATGTGTCTTTATTTTAAGTAAATGGTTACACCAATTAGCTGACTACTTAGTAGTAGTTTCCCATGTTGGTTCGTGTAAAGACTGCTACTGCTAGCTAGATGTGTTGTCTTGTGTAACAGCTGCTGTCTGTGGTGTCATACTTCCCCATGACCTATGCAGCTTTGCAATTCTGCACCTCTTGGGTGGACCTAGCCTCAGCCTATTTGTAGCTTGAATACTGTACCCCATTTGCTGTTGTAACCTGCCTCGGCCTATGCGCCCAGTGCTTACATGCTCTGTCTTCTGTCTTCATACCTGCCAAAGGCAGCCAGTCTTAACCCCATATGCAAGTTCACATTGAAGATGCAATTCCATGACATGTTACATATCAATGCACACCAGCCCAGAAGATGTGACACATCTCAGCACACTACCCCATAAGATCATATACATTACTGTTGTTTACTCCACCTAAACACTCTCAACAATATCACATTTACTTCACAGAAACAATACATCCTATTCTTCCCAAATCTCATACTATACACCTTACTCCACACAAACCCACGCAACATTTCACCTTACTCCACACAAACCCACACAACAACACTACACCTTACTCCACATTTCACCTTACTCCACACTTCACCTTACTCTGCACAAACCCACACAACAACACTACACCTTACTCCACACTTCACCTCACTCCACACTTCACCTTACTCCACACAAACCCACACAACAACACTACACCTTACTCCACATTTCACCTTACTCCACACTTTACCTTACTCCACACTACACCTTACTCCACACTTCACCTTACTCCACACTACACCTTACTCCACACAAACCCACACAACAACACTACACCTTACTCCACACTACACCTTACTCCACACTTCACCTTACTCCACACAAACCCATACAACAACACTACACCTTACTCCACACTTCACCTTACTCCACACAAACCCACACAACAACACTACACCTTACTCCACACTTCACCTTACTCCACACAAACCCACACAACAACACTACACCTTACTCCACACTTCACCTTACTCCACACAAACCCACACAACAACACTACACCTTACTCCACACTTCACCTTACTCCACACTACACCTTACTCCACACACTACACCTTACTCCACAATTCACCTTACTCCACACTTCACCTTACTCCACACTTCACCTTACTCCACACCACACCTTACTCCACACTACACCTTACTCCACACTACACCTTACTCCACACACTACACCTTACTCCACACTTCACCTTACTCCACACTACACCTTACTCCACACTTCACCTTACTCCACACTACACCTTACTCCACACTACACCTTACTCCACACTTCACCTTACTCCACACTTCACCTTACTCCACACTTCACCTTACTCCACACAAACCCACACAACAACACTACACCTTACTCCACACTACACCTTACTCCACACTTCACCTTACTCCACACTTCACCTTACTCCACACAAACCCACACAACAACACTACACCTTACTCCACACTACACCTTACTCCACACTTCACCTTACTACACCTTACTCCACACACTACACCTTACTCCACACTTCACCTTACTCCACACTACACCTTACTCCACACTTCACCTTACTCCACACTACACCTTACTCCACACTACACCTTACTCCACAATTCACCTTACTCCACACTTCACCTTACTCCACACTTCACCTTACTCCACACTTCACCTTTCTCCACACTACACCTTACTCCACACTACACCTTACTCCACACTTCACCTTACTCCACACTACACCTTACTCCACACTTTACCTTACTCCACACTACACCTTACTCCACACAAACCCACGCAACATTTCACCTTACTCAACACTACACCTTACTCCACACTTCACCTTACTCCACACTACACCTTACTCCACACTTCACCTTACTCCACACTACACCTTACTCCACACTACACCTTACTCCACAATTCACCTTACTCCACACTTCACCTTACTCCACACTTCACCTTACTCCACACTTCACCTTTCTCCACACTACACCTTACTCCACACTACACCTTACTCCACACTTCACCTTACTCCACACTACACCTTACTCCACACTTTACCTTACTCCACACTACACCTTACTCCACACAAACCCACGCAACATTTCACCTTACTCAACACTACACCTTACTCCACACTTCACCTTACTCCACACTTCACCTTACTCCACACTTCACCTTACTCCACACTTCACCTTACTCCACACTACACCTTACTCCACACAAACCCACACAGCAATGCTTCTTCCTACTATCCTGCACATCCTGTCCACTCCACAGTACAGGCAACTGCTCCGAGTCCAACACTGGCCACTGCATCCTTCCCTGGACTATGTAGTCCGGCATGTGTCCACTCAGTGATCCACATTGTTTATGTGCCCATGTTGAGTCATGAAGTTCCTCCTAGCCTTCGGTCACCACTACTAACAGTGCATGCTTCAAGACTTAACTTGATATGACATGCAGGCTGAGGTGGGATACACCAATGTTACCATACAGCTTTATGTAGTGTGGTGGTGCACATTTACCAAAGATATTCTTTGCCAGATATATCATATGTACCAGGGTACCCAAATTACCCAATGCAATGTGCATATTGAAAGGAGAAATCTGCAGCAGTATCTCCAGCAGAGACCTACCCGCAACTCTTACACTGTGGTGTTGTCTGTTTCCCATCCCTCCTCCTAGTGGTGATATGACTGTTGTAAGCTACTTGTACCACTGAGTCAATAACCCATGAGTGAATGTAATCAGGATGAAATTAGCTTCACACATAATGTTTTTAGTGTCCATACAGGCATCCAAATGTTTTCAGCTTTGAGCATATGTGTTCATGTGTACTTCATGTGGGTGTGGAGCATTTGTATTCAGGGTAAATAAGTACTATGAGCTGACAGTGAATATGTTTCCCAGACTGAAGATGTATGTCTTGAATATTTCTCAGTGTAGAAAAATACTCTGTTATCAAGTTATTGGATCCAAACAGAATAAGTTCATACATTCCAGATTACAAGAATATCTGTTCAGTATGTTAGACTGTTTTCAACATTGTTGGTCAATGAAAAAAATTCCATGTTAAAGAATATACCAATTAGATAATACCGATTTGCAGATTATTTTAGCATGTTTTGTTCTTTAACCATTTTGGCATGTTACATTGGGACATGAATTCATTGGTTGTAAACCAAGCAGCAGTGAATCTTTCAGAGGAACAGTGGTGTTTTATTGACTTCTGATATTGCATACAAAGACAGAATTCCTTTGGATATTAACATCTTTATATGTTTCATTTTTAGGCTCTGTATAAGACTTTTTTCCTTGGAAGTCTCTATATGCACAGAGAAATACAAAGAATGGGTATAACAGGGTTGCTTTTTTCAGTTAAATGAAGTACAAGTTTGAAAATGGGGACAATGTGGTCTGTATTATTGTGTAAATTCTTACAATTCTTGGAAATGGCCTTCAAACCTGCAGACCTACTCCTGAGGTCATGTTTGGAGCATACAACTTTCAACAATGATATGTGAACTAGCAATGTTCTTCAGGAAAAGGTTTCCAGATGCCTGTATATAATTTTTGTGTTGTAGTTGGACCAAATATTTTGCATGATTAAAAGTCAGTTAGGTTTTAGGTGTATGATGGGTCTAAATGTGTGTCATATTTCAAATGATGAAAACATTTGAGAAAAAGGCAACTTAGATTTGCAACTGATATTTTGGTGTCAGGCAGGTAGGCATGTCTGAGCAGGTAGAAAAATTAATCTTTTAACACACTGCATGTCCTTTTGTAACCCACAAACAAATACATTTGACAAAGTTGTAACTATGACAGTACTTCTTAACTCTATAGAATTGATGACTAATTTGGACCGCTTTTCAGTGGGAAGAATATGTGACAAGTTTGTGAGATGTATCCCTTAAGGAGGTTTAGATGTGCACTGATAATACTATGCAAGCGCAAGGCCATTCCATGTTTCAGTATAAGTGATGGGGGGTGGGAAAAATTAATAGGGAGCAATATTGCCAGTGCTTTTGTTGGATTTCTTAACAAATCCATGCTTGGCTTTCTTGAAAATGTAGAAATACCCTGACATTTATTTACAGCATACTGTTACTACTGATGTGTTATGAGCTTTTCTGTGCTCTTCATGTCCGAGAAAGATATGATGTGCAGGTCACTGTTGATTGAATTCTGTGCAGCTCACTGTTGATCTACGATGTCCTGTGCAGCTCACTGTTGATCTACGATGTTCTGTGCAGCTCACTGTTGATCTACGATGTTCTGTGCAGGTCACTGTTGATTGAATTCTGTGCAGGTCACTGTTAATCTATGATGTTCTGTGCAGGTCACTGTTGATCTATGATGTTCTGTGCAGGTCACTGTTGATCTACGATGTTCTGTGCAGCTCACTGTTGATCTACAATGTCCTGTGCAGGTCACTGTCGATCTATGATGTTCTGTGCAGCTCACTGTTGATCTATGATGTTCTGTGCAGGTCACTGTTGATCTACTATGTCCTTTGCAGGTCACTGTTGATTGAATTCTGTGCAGCTCACTGTTGATCTACTATGTCCTGTGCAGGTCACTGTTGATTGAATTCTGTGCAGCTCACTGTTGATCTACGATGTTCTGTGCAGGTCACTGTTGATTGAATTCTGTGCAGCTCACTGTTGATCTACGATGTCCTGTGCAGGTCACTGTTGATCTACGATGTCCTGTGCAGGTCACTATTGATTGAATTCTGTGCAGCTCACTGTTGATCTATGATGTCCTGTGCAGGTCACTGTTGATTGAATTCTGTGCAGGTCACTGTTGATCTATGATGTTCTGTGCAGGTCACTGTCGATCTATGATGTTCTGTGCAGGTCACTGTCGATCTATGATGTTCTGTGCAGGTCACTGTTGATCTACTATGTTCTGTGCAGGTCACTGTTGATCTATGATGTTCTGTGCAGCTCACTATTGATCTACGATGTCCTGTGCAGGTCACTATTGATTGAATTCTGTGCAGCTCACTGTTGATCTACGATGTCCTGTGCAGGTCACTGTTGATTGAATTCTGTGCAGGTCACTGTTGATCTATGATGTTCTGTGCAGGTCACTGTTGATCTACTATGTTCTGTGCAGCTCACTGTTGATCTACGATGTCCTGTGCAGGTCACTGTTGATTGAATTCTGTGCAGCTCACTGTTGATCTACGATGTCCTGTGCAGGTCACTGTTGATTGAATTCTGTGCAGCTCACTGTTGATCTATGATGTTCTGTGCAGGTCACTGTTGATCTACTATGTTCTGTGCAGGTCACTGATGATCTAGGTTGTTCCGTGCAGCTCACTGTTGATCTACGATGTCCTGTGCAGGTCACTGTTGATTGAATTCTGTGCAGCTCACCGTTGATCTACTATGTTCCGTGCAGGTCACTGTTGATATACCATGTTCTGTGCAGGTCACTGTTGATCTGCGATGTTCTGTGCAGGTCACTGTTGATCGACGATGTTCTGTGCAGGTTGATGTTGATCTACGATGCCCTGTGCAGTTCACTATTGATTGAATTCTGTGCAGCTCACTGTTGATCTGCAATGTTCTGTGCAGGTCACTGTTGATCTACTATGTTCTGTGCAGGTTGATGTTGACGGACAAATGGAGTGAAAGAGATTCATCATTCATGGAATGTAACTAACACTTGAAGTATCTGGTTCAACAGTGTTTTACTTCCGGCTTATAAGATAGGGAGTCCAGGGTAGGTTTGATGTGAAAACTAGACAGTGGATGTGAAAGCTGAAGGTAATATAAGTGAAGTATGGACTTGAGTATTTTAAATCAGTGTTGCATGCAGGATGAGTTGATGGTGGGGTACCTTTTGGAAATAGTTCCATCTTCAATATTGTTCGGCAGTCAGGCAGTATTTGCTTTGAATTGTTCATTTACTTTCTATAGTAACATTGGAAGATTTGACCTCAAATTCATTAATTTGATGTATTAAACGTCTCTACTGAGCATGCACCTAGTACTGCTACACAGACGGCTTTGCAAGTAAGTCCATCTGTTTCTTTTCTAACTGTAACCCACACTGAAGTTGAAACTGTAAATTTTACAGATGAGTATGGTGGCTGGAAAGTGAAAAGTATGAATTTCAAGAAATTGTCTTAAAAATCTTGATAAGCAGAGCATGTCTATTTTGCTGATAATACATCCATATCAAGTGCATATCCTTCTTCCTTATTCAGGACATGAGATCTCTGAATCCATTTTTTGTCCAAACATGATACAGCACTGTGTTATTGGTAGTTTGAATGGGGCTGCCAAAGAGTATTTTTTAGTAATGAACAAGTGGTTTGAAATCTTCCCATGTTGCTATAAGGTGAATTAGTTGCCATGGTGTTTGGGGGATCAGTGGTTGAGCTGTACTCATGTTTTTCTACAGTCAACTTTTACATGTTCGTATTGCTGCTTTTGTCTTGATGCATTTTGCAAACTGTTCATCTGTGTATTACAATATGTTGGTGCTACATTATCATGCCATTTATTATTCTACATTATATATCATAGTAGGGGAGGGTCTTTATATAGGGCTTGTAGGTCTATATCATATTTGTGAATTTTGTATTTAAAGTTGTGCCTTTAGTTGATAAATTCTACTTTTGTACACGTGTTAGTTTCAATGACTTGTTTGCGTGCAGACCTAGTCTGCATGCCACATATATGTAGAGGTTGTAGGTATTTTGTTCTGCTCTGGGACTTTTGGACTGTGAAGTATTTCCCAGGACTGCTGCTACTGGGACAATCAGTCCAGGGAGTGGAGTAACACAAACCAGTCAGTCTGTCTCAGACGTGTAGTTTCAGTGGTAGTCCTTATGTTTAAGGGTCTAACCCTGCAGCTTGTGAGTAGACAAGTTCTTGTTACAGATGCAACCTATATTTTGACAGGCTTTGAGTGCAACAATTGCACACTACTGTTGTCTCTCGGCATTTTGCCCACACATGTTAAGGGTTCAACCCTAGTTACGCCTTCCAGTGCTACCAATATTGTTGTCTTCTTTATAGATCTGAATCAAAATCATGTTTTGTCCAATTGTAATATTTCAGTGATAATAATTGTGCACGAGCTATTGTCAAAATTGAAATATGTTCCACATATGACTGTTTTAGTGCACATCGGTGACTGATAGTATTGTCTTGCAAGTATTCCCATGAGTCAGTGGCATGTTGGGCATGTCAGCGCATAGGCAGGATTCATTCAAACATCTCCATAGCATGCTTAACTAATTTAAAGATTGAAAAAAATATTGTTTCCTTTAATGAAACTGGTTATGGTATTTCTTATTCATGAAATGTTCCCTGATTTCAAATTGCTTATTAATGTAAACAAGTTGCATATAGCTGTCCCAACATGCCATCCTGTCTCCACTACCACAAGCCACCAGGCGCCTGGATACAATCAACATCAGGCACTGACACACTTGGAGATTTGAGGTCTATAATGTGACATAAGCACGCATTTTTCCCAAGTTGCTCACATCAGAAGCAGTTTAGAATTGAAGATCCGACATAGAATATAAAAAGCCTGACGATCTATTGAATCTATTTTACCTTTTGTTGGATTGTTTTTCAGTGTAGTGGAGAGTCCAAGTGTTCAGTGCTTGATGCAAGTGTATGGAGATGGTGAGGCAGGTGCCAACATGTGTTCCACATCCAGTACTTAGTTATTCATTTGTTGTTTTCTGAGCCTTACTGGCTGTATTAGGGTCCATGGTATTATGTATTGTTATCTATTTGTTTTTGTACAAAGCATATCAAGCTAGGTGAGATCGGTGGCTTTGTTAGTTGAGTATTTAGTTTGTTTGTGAAGCCCAAGCTTACAGGTGGGCAGGTCGCCTAGTTATACACATTTTGTTATACATTATACTTTAGATATTTTAGCAATTTATGTATTTGTCTACAGCATTTTTTCAATGTTAGTGGAGCATACCATGAGCTTCCGCATTAAAAGCTTTACAAAACTTTTACTACATGTCCTGTTGTTATCGAACAGTGGCATGTGTTTCCTCAGATTACTCACTAATTCTTGGGTGCAGTTCACATAAGTTGCACAAATCTCGTGCACCAATGTTATTAATGTAGTTTTGAGATGGATTGAATAAAACATTATTGGGGTGACATTCGGTAAGTATTTGTCACTGCAGGCAGCAAGGTTCCAGCAACATGAAGGAAACCTGTATGTATTGCCTGGCAAACTGTGATTTGTAGGTAGCATGACCAACAATTCATGCAACTGTTGTTAGATTACAAGAGATTCTCTTTAAGAAGATCCATGGAAAGCTAAGGAACAGACAGGTAATTCCTTCCTTGAGTTATCTCTTGGGGAAATCCTGCCCACAGGGCATGTCTAAATCCCTCTTGTTGTTGACTGCAAGCATGACATGCTTATAGTTGCATCTAGATAGCAAAATTTTCTAATTCATAAAGTATTTACTAGTATTTTGGTGATCTATTAGACATGTTTCTCTATTATATCTTGATACCAGTTCCTACTTAATGATATTATTATTATTTTTCTTGTTTTGGTGACTGTTTAAAGTGTCATGCATGTCTTGTCTAGCTCAAACTAAATGCACCAACTGCAAAACTTTTCAGAGATTTCAAATAATTATTTACGCATTGAAATAACCTTAAAGTGGACAAGCGGAAACGATGAAGTCGGACCTCTTCTGATTTATCTCTCAAGGCAAATCAGCAAAGACCAAATTTAAGAAACTTTATGTAGAAAAACAGCCAGATTTCAATGAATTTTCAAAAATTGTTATCTTTAATGTTGGAGAATTTTAAAAAGCAGGATATTGCTAATAGATGACCAAGTTGAGCAAGCAATCATTACTGAACTGAACTGAACTTTATTACACCCAGGCCGATCTCCGCAGCATTAGAGGTACAGCATTGATCTACATATACATCACTTTATACAAATATTCATATTATACGATATTACACAAGCTAAGCAAACTTAAGGCTTACAAAACAAAGGGATCGGTTACTCTATGAGGTTGCCTGCTGAAGAGCTCGGATATGTCTGACAGGCAGACAAGTGGCCATGTGTCGGTTCAACTAGATCTGTTCTGCTTATCCCAGGTGTTGAGAAGCTTGATGCCTGTTGTGGCAACAGAATTACCGGTAGACTGATCCGTCAGTTCATGGGGCCGTGACAGAAACACGGAATCTCGGCCGTTCACGGTGGGATCTGTGGCTTGTCAATCCACAGTTGCAAGTCAATGGCCGGTCGGGTATCACAGATGCCAAGGCAGTGATTCATATTGGGAACAGGGATCTCAACGGGGTGGTTTACGGACCCACGTGCAACTTTACCTCCGGATCAAGACTATGGTGACCGCCTCCGAAGACCAGAAATTGAAGGATTAGAAAACATTGAAAAACTTTTTTTGTCGTGTAACTGTCATGATATCAGCAGATCATATCAGGTCTCGCATAGACACCCTAGTTGCTACATAATTATTGCTTTTTTATGAAATGAAAACAAAAATTGAAAAAAAACAAGGAAAGGGAAACTCAATCTCATTAAAATCAGATCTAAGTTCTCGCTACCTCTATTCTGATATTCTGATCACCTTTTGTCCTAGAAATCTCGTAGAGGCTACTCCTTATGATAGGCGATGGGGTGTTGGACTATCTCCACATGACTCGAACATTGTATTTCAATCACCATATTCGTAGACTCTTGATTTCACGTGTGGGAATCAGAAATACGAAATATGATGATGTAATGACTGAATTAGGCTTCCATAGTTTCATTAACCCAAATTTGTCCAGTTGCCACAAGGAAAGCGTGCTTTACATGTTGCTTGCAGTTCCCCTACCCTATAAATAGTGAAATTCAAGTTTCAGACACGTGGTTGCATTTTGCTCCTGTGTGAGATTCCCCTTCCAATAGAGGTTGAAAATCAGCCATGGTGAGGAGAAAGTTAACGAACGCTGAAAGATGGCAAGTGATAGGCATGACAAATGCTGGCATGTCATGCAGGGCCATTGCGAGACAAATGGGTCGTCATCACAGTGTTATCACTCGTTTGATTGTCAAACATGGTCAAACCAATGATGTCAATGACAGGCATAGGTCTGGTAGGCCAAGAAAGACCTCTAACAGAGAGGATAGACATCTTTTCAGGATAGTCAGACGAAATCCATTTGCCACTTCAACAGATTTAAGACTGCAGTGGATTACCCATCAGAGACTCTCGACGATGAACGTAAGGCGTCACCTCAGAGCGGCTGGTTATAACACCAGAAGACCAGTAAAACGTCCTCAATTGACTGAGAGGCACAAGCGGAATCGTCTGATATGGTGTCGTGCCCGTAGTCTATGGAACTTGGCCAACTAGATAAGGATCCATTGCTCTGACGAGTGTCGAATGCTGCTACGAACTGTTGATGGTCAAATACGTGTTTGGAGGCAACATAACAGTCATTTTGCACCAAAGAACATCCAGAAGACCTTAGCATGTGGCGGGGGGTCTGTGATGATATGGGGTTGTGTTTCCTTCGGCTGCAAACTTCCGCTGGTTGTTGAAACCTGAATGGCCACCAATACCAAGATGCCGTTCTTCGTCCAGTGGTAGTGCCTCATTTTGACAACCATCCTTATCAGACAAGAGCTGTTTACATGGACGACAATGCTAGACAACACAGATCTTGGGCAGTTTTGGGTTATTTGCGTCAAGAAGCTATTGCCACTCTTCCTTGGCCAGCCTGTAGTCTGGATCTTAATCCTATTGAGCATCTCTGGGACATTCTTGACCGGAAAATCAGACCACGTGAGCCCCCAGTTCAAAATCTCGCTGGACTTGAAACCGCACTTCATGAAGAATGGATCCGTTTGCCTCAGAGAAGCATTCAACGACTTGTAATGAGTATGAGGCGTAGGGTTGAAGCTGTGGTCAATGTCCGTGGATCAGACACACGTTACTGACGTTTCTGTCTTGCAATAGACACTGCACGCCCTAGGGTGTCTATGTGACACCTGATATGGTCTGCTGATATCACAACAGTTACATGACAAAAAAAGGTTTTTCAATGTTTTCTAATCCTTCAATTTCTGGTCTTCGGTAAAATTCCTTTCTGCTCATATTCTTTTGGAACACAAGATAAACTTGCTTTGGGACAACTTTTGCATCACGTGAGGTTTACATATATGACTAATAACAATCGTACATCTCGTTATAATAGTTATCATTAAGTGACAAAAGTAACAGCTCACAAATATGGTGGGTGGCACTTAACTTTTGTGCATGTGTATATTAAATATTTGTAAATGTGTGGAATAGTATACCTCTAAACAGGGTACTGTAATTTAAACGTGTTACGGTTATTTCTTTGGGACCATTTACGGGGGTATATCACAGTATAGGGTGGAGGTGAGAAAATTGAAGACAGTAAACCTAAACATACTCTCAACGAGTCAGACAAGTTCTAAAGTCGTGTGGAATAAGGGATACATGCTAAATGGAAGGTATGTTTCGTGAATTTCATCAGGATTTAGAACAGACTATCGGTGAGATTATGACTTTATATAATATTTGCCAACTACTTGAATCATTTATGTTTTCATTGAAAACTATTTTAATGGTTAACCTTCATAAAGAATATGAAAACATTTTCTGTAACTGTTCATGTATCCTTGATAAGAACATGAGCTGAAAACAACCAGTATTTTAACATTTCATTTCAACCTACCTTTTACAACATACATACATTCATTTATCATATGTTCAATGAATAATATGTCATTTGAACTAGATATAGTTGAGAAGGAAGTGTAGGGTCGGGTTCAGGGTTTAGTTAGGAACTTTAGGGTACTAAATGAGCGAAGCAGATATTTTAAAAGCAAAGTTGGAAATTTAGTTTGAAAATACGACTGACTTTTCGCAATGAAATATAACACGGCGTGAATAAAGTAGAGATTTTATCAAATAAAATTATACTATTTCTTATTCATTTATTCGTGTGATTGATGGTATAGCTTGAATCAGATTTTTCCATCCAAAAATGAAAGGTTCCTATGTATTTTGTAAGCAAAAACAAAATATATATCCTAGCAGTCGGCTGTGATGATCAAATGGTGAATGAGTATATTCTCTCGATGACAACATTCTAAGAATTCATTGAATAGTTGTATCAAGAGATCGAGGACTGTTTCATTCTTTCCATTGGATGATTCGCCCCAATTATGTTTCTAGGTTTGTCAGCACCATACCCGTGCTCGTGGGTTTCACCGAAGTGGTAAACGTCTGAGACCTGCATCACTTCGGGCTTTCCTCCCACATTAAGCTGACACGCCGTGATATAACTGGAATACTGTTAAAAGCGACGTTAAACCCAACTCACTCACTCACTCACTCACTCCATTGGATGACGATCATTCTACTATGTATGAAGGTATCTACCCCACCATATTCCAATAGCTTCAATGGCATTCCTTAAGAATTCCAATTTTAACATCGCGTCCAAGATTATTGCACTTATTTACTGACGTGCATGCACGTGTATGTGGCTGTTTGTACTATTTCGGACTAATGCCGTATTATAGTGCTAGCACACTGAGATACCATGCCGCAGTTTAACATGAATACCCCACTCAGACACAGTATACTGACGCCGAGCCGACCAGTCCTTCTTTCAGCCCCTTAATGCCGAGTGCCAGACAGGGTAATAACAAGTACATACTTTTAACGTCTTTTGGTATGACACGGGCAGGGATCGAACCCCAGACCTTCCGCTCTCCGGACGGACGCGACCCGTGAAGTCCCAATTGTGTGGATCGATGCTCATGATATCAATCACTGGATTGTCTGGTTCAGACTCGATTATTTACAGACCGCCGTCATATAGCTGGAATATTGCTGAGTGCGGCGTTAAACAACAAACCAACCAACCAACTAACCAACTGGACGGACGCTCTACCACAAGACGTCGCTATATAAGTGCAATAATCTTGGAC